ACCGGCTTCACGGTTTGCCGGGCAGCCCCCAGACCTCCAGACCCGCTGCACCCCTGGCCGGGCGCTTCCCCAGCGCAGCCAGATCCCGGGAGGAGAAGCGCCCGGCTGGGGGCACAGGGTCTGGAGGTCTAGGGGCTGCCCGGCAAACCGTGAAGCCGGTAGCGCTCGGGCAGCTCCTCTCTTCAGCTGCACAGAGCTGAGGTGTCTGGGGGGAGCAGCAGCAGCCGCCACCGCGGGGAAATCCGCCTGCAGCTCACAACCTGCCGGAACCACTCAGGTGAGCAGGGGACAGGGGCAGGGATGCCGGCATTTTCCCGGACATGTTCGGCTTTTTGGCAATTCCCCCCGGACAGGGATTTGAGGACCAAAAAGCCAGACATGTCCGGGAAAATCCGGACGTATGGTAACCCTAGTCAAAAGATGTCTAGGACTCTTTAAGGAGCAGCACCACTGGCTATGCAGGAACATCTGTCCCCATCCCCTTGACTTGCACTGGGATTTGGCATCCCTTCCCCCTGCTTAGCAAGTGAGGTTCAGTTGTGGGTGCATCCATGCAAATATGGGCTGCTCCTGAAGTCTCTTCCCCCAATTTGTCACTAGATGTCAGGGGAAAGTTCATTTGGTCCCTGCTAATAACTGCTGTATTCGCATCCCATTACCCCGAACATGATGCCAAGCCAATGTCATGCCAGCCAATGAACAGAAGTAGGGTGACCAGATGTCCCGATTTTATAGGCACAGTCCCGATTTTGGGGCCTTTTTCTTATATAGGCTCCTATTACCCCCCTCCCCACACCTCCTGTCCTGATTTTTCATGCTTCTTGTCTGGTCACCCTAAAGAGAGGCCACTGAGTTACAATGGCTAGCGCCGTGGTACAGAGGTTACAAAGTGTGGCTGTGCTGTGTCCCCATCTAACAGGGCTGATCCTGAAACCCAGGTGCTGGGATTTGATAAGGAGGTACCCACCTGAGCTGTACTGATCACTCCTGCCCTGCCTGTCTGTGCATGCAGCATTGATTTAAACTCCAAAGCCCTTTCCCAGCATGCACTGGGCACAGTCTGAAAGCAGGGATGGATTCTCTTTGGGGCAGATGCTTCTTTGGTTTTTGGGGGGGAGGGAAGGTGAGAGGGAAGGGTGGTGGCCCCGCCCTGGTCATTGACTGCTGCGAATAAGAAAGGAAGCCACCTAGTGTCACCTGAATACCCTGGGGATGAGGGATCTGGGGTCCATGCACAGTGGGTGCTGGTAAGTCAGGCCTCTGCCCCTTCCCCCCGTACAACCACCTCTGAAGATGACTTGGGTAATGCTGAGCAGGAAGACTTGTCTTCCGAGAAGGACTGGTTGTGCATGGGTTTGGCTAGGATCTGCCCTGGTTCAGGCTAGGTTTGGGGTCCTAGCCGAGCTGTTCACGCTGCTGACACAGGGCCAGCTTGCTGGTTTGTTTTCTCACTGGTGAATGAGAATAAAATTGCCATTAATTTTTCAAAGCCAGCTCTGTCATGTGCTCTGGGTGCACAGAGAGGATAATGCCAGGGCCGGGTCCTGGCAGTTCTTGCAGTTAGGTGAATGGAAGTGGTTTTGCAGGGAAGTATGATTGTTTTGCAAACTAAGAAGGATCGGTGTGATACAGATACAGATACAGTGTAGTCTCACACATTGAGTTGCTACTCAGCAAGGCATAGGAAAGCCAGCTGTTAGTAGTGATGCTTAAAACACCACTGTGAATCTCTCTGATCAAAGAACAGACTCATTCCAGGGGTGATCATCTTGTAGAAGGGAAAGAGGAGGCACTACACAGAGAAATTCTGAGTGGGTTTATTGTTAACCCACTCAAGTATGAACCTTGCCGGCTTTCGAGGGGTCAGCCTTCTCCACCGAAGAGGCAGGTGTCCTTGTTGAAAATACTTTCATGTTCCTCTCTGTCATACTCAATAGGCATAGGAAAGCTGCCATTGGGAAAGAAAAAAGCAAATATCAGGCCATGAGAGTGGGAAGCAAAGAATCTCCAGTAAAGATGGTATCTGCATTTTTGGCAGGAAAAGATAGTGTTGAGTGATTCTAGCTGGCTGAGCTATTTGAAGTTAATAGTTGAATTAATTGAGCCCCTTTTATTGCTCATGAACAATGTCTGACATTTGCAGGTTGTTTCATCTTTGTCGTTCGACAAACAATCTGCAAACTAATTTCACCCAATGGGTTGTTCTTGAAATGTGCCTGTTTTGTTTATTTACTATAAGATTTTCATTCTCACCATTGTCTGGTCACTTGAGTCACATGATGCTGTTTCTGTTCTCTGAGTGGATGGATGGAACTGCACTTCAGGGGGGGAGTACAGTCAAACCACTGGGCCCTGGTTTTCTCTCTTTTGGAAAGATGGGCAGTGCCATCTGTGGAGAAAGGAGGACTTAGGCCAGAAGCTTTACAAAGTGTTTAGAACATTATATCTTCCCCTTTCCAGATCACATGTGTCAGTCCTTATCTGAGACATCACTGCTAGG